GGGTGTGGGCGTTTCAGTGACTGCCCAGCCCCGCTGGCTTCAAGCACGGCCTCTGGATGGCGCCACTACAGGGAGAGGGCAGTGTTTCTCGCCCTAGCAGGTGTTAAGTAGCTAACCTGGAAAGATGCAAAATAAAAAACAAAGATAAGATGCTACAGTGAGCTATGACACTTGCCAAGGGGCTGCGTCCAAGTGTGAGTGGTTTTATTCTCCTAACATAAGGGCTCTGGCCAGCAGCTAAGTGGGAGAAGATTCCCTCTGGCATCAACCTGACCCTGCAATTAGAGTCCATCTAATGAACGACGCACATTTTATGTTTTGGAATTTTAGCAGTAACTTGGTGAGCCGAACTAAAGTTGAGTGACCTTTTTCAAGTACAACCAGAGAGTCTGTCTACTCTTAGACACCACACTGATTCTTCTAAGAGAGAGGGATCCTGTCTTGGTTACTTTTCCCTCGTTGCTGTGATTAAATACCTGATGCCCAAAATGAAGGAAGGAAAGGTTTATTTAGCTCAGTTTGTGGAAGTTTCAGTCCACACTTGGCTGGCTCCTAGGCAGTGTGGCACATGGCAGAGGGCAACAGTTCGCAGTGGCAGAAAACAGGAAAACAACAAGAGCAAAAGAGGAGCGGCTGCTGAAAGAGCAAGCCTCCTTCCCTCCCTTACACTGTATGCAAACTACCCGCCGCAGGGCAGGTGTAGCACTCATGGCCCCATAATTCCAATGTTGGACCAGGAATCGACCACGAACTCTAAAGGCCCGCCCCATCACTGCATGAGGCTTTGGGAGTGACATATCCAGACATAAACAATATCAGCTCCTAAAAATGTCCTGACAGTTTCCTTGAAAGTGCACGGAAAATGGAAATTATGACAGATTACTAGTTCGTGACAGGACTCAAATCACAGAAAGCAGGGACACTGTCCCGATGCTCGCTGACGATATGGCCCAATCCTGGAAGTCACAAACCGGCTACGGTGTTTAGTCACAAGTACATGCAACTAAATGCATACACAGATAACATGTGGGTTATATAATAAGCTATGAGGTGACCATGAAAGAATTTTTACGAGAATTAACTGGAGGATTCTACCCTAGTACTCCTAGGTCAAAAATACCTAATGATAGCAGCCATGTCTTATTTATAGGACAGGTCAGGATGAGGACGGTTTCTTGAAATTTGAAGATTCTGAAAAAATTACCAACACAGAACTTGCAGATGCTTTTGGACAGAGGTGGCGGTTCCCCTAGAGTGTTCTGAGCGACCTGTTTGGGCGCCAGAGCATGCGGTCAGGCTGTATCACGAACTCGGATCTGAAGAAGCTGATTCTACCTTTTGGGGAGCCAGTGTGCAGTGCTGTGACCGTGACGCCTCAGAGACTGCTCTCAGCCAATACAGGATGAGGCTAAACCTGACCTGGGGCCAACCAAAGAAACCGATCCAGGAGGCCCAGGAAATACTCAAAATGGGAAGTAGATAATTAACCGAGCTGAAATTTACCAGTATTTAAGAGGATAAAATACAAAGAGTATATATGTTCCTTACAGATTAAGGACTGTATTCTACCCAAATTTTTTGATAAGAGATCTGTTAACTGATGAACAAAACCTGGCTATACAATTATAAACTTCTAAAAACTGTAAGAGTTACTATAATCCAATTTGATCTAGAATACTTGAGTGCACTCCAATTTTGTAAGATGTTTGTGCTGTGTACTTGTTACGTGTTCTGTGAACAGCTGTTCCCCTTTGAGTTCAACTAATTTTCCTTTTATTTGTTTGTAATACAATTTGAATTATAGACTTAAAAGCATGTTTTCTCCTGAGTTACCAGCTGGTTTAAATAATATTAAAATTGGCTTTCTGGCAGCTGATCAAAAAATTAAGATATTTAACCACAATTCTTTAGAGTGAGAAATTACTGGACAAAACTCCAATTGGTGAACAGAGGAGTGCCAACCTTTATTCATTAATAAGGAGCCCCCCAATGATCTCCAGGGTCTCCTGAGAGACACCCTCAATAATTTGGTCATGGTTAAGTATTCCAGAATGATAAAAAATAAGGTTTTCTCACAAAATATGCTCTAAGTTAAAGGTTTTCACATGCGTACGGTAATTCATTATTAATTTCATGGTGTATTGAAATGTGTTCCTGATTCTGGATGGTACAGGTCTTCAAAATGTAAGGCAAGGATTGCTTTATGATAACACTTTTTGTTCAGATTCAGACCTTTTTTTGGACCTTTGCCTTTAAAAACTTATGTGCATATCTCGTTAAAGGATATAATGGATTAGGTGAAAGCTTATGTATTAGAGATGATTGGCTGAACGGGTTATGTCAAAATGAAAATTTACGCTTTTACAAAATGTCATGATTGTCATGCAGTGTTATGTATGGATTTGGTTTCTAAGTTCAATGTACAAATATGTAACTTATCTGTTAACATTCTATAGGAATTTAAACAGATATCCATGGTTAACAAAATCATAGTTCCATTTTATTATGTTCTATGGTGTCTGATATTCAGATAGTAATGTTAAGCTTACTGCCTCTATTACAGTGTAATGTTTGTTAAGCTTCTCTTCTGGATGTTGAACAACTGAGATTTGGTGACCAGAAAATTAGCAAGATAAATGGGCTAAGAGGACAGTCAGTATTTTGGCCCTAGGCCTCCGAAGTTAGAGTAAACCCAGGACGGAAGAGAACCTCTGCTATGGCATCCTGTAACTCAGTGGGGCCCCTGATTTTCTGACCAAGGAGATTATGGGACCACAGAGGAAAGTGATTCGAGAATGCAGAGTGTCCCAGATAGCTCACTTGAGATGTTAGTAAGAATTGCCTCCTCAGTACTCTATAGCCATGATGAGGAGGAGGCCAAGGAGAGAAAACAAAGAGACTGAGA